ATTATTACATGTACGAACCTCTAGTATGAGCAACATTCCCCTAAAAATGGATGTGTTCGAACTTTACTTTACAGAATAAAATTATTAAAAAGAAAAACATTAGTTAGATAAGAAGCTATTTTGTTCCTTTCTCTAAAGCTCGAACGACTGAACTGTAAAATTGTAAGAACAGTTTCACGTGTATCATTTATTTGCCATAAAAAGTTACATTTATTTGAACTTGCCTATGTATTGCTAAGTTTTTTCTTAGTGAAACGTTTTATTTAAAATACAAATACGAAGATTTGTAAAGAAATCGAAGAACCGTATAGTCTATAGCATTGTACGAACGTATTGTCAAGAACGAGTATTTGAAATAAAGATTTCATAAAATTTCGCAAACATTTCTGTTCCCTGGTAGCAACGACTTTCTGTAGCATAATAAAACAGTAAATAATGAATATATATATATATATATATACCTACACTTTAACTGTGCCTATTGTTAGACATATTTATCGCGATAATTCTAGTATATATTACTTACTGTTATTGATCTTAAAATTGTTTAGTTTATAGTCATTCATTTTTATATTGTACCTCGTTTTCTTGCGATTATTTTGGTCTTTTTCTCTTCTTTTTTACTTTAAAGAAACCAAATAAGCTGTAATTAATTTGAATGTGGTTTTCTTGATTGCTGCATGCATTTTTTGTTATGGCATGAAATTATTCATATCGAAAAAGTGTTAAGCACCAAGAAACATTAAACTGAAGGAGTCGTTAGCACATTATAAATTTGTTTTGTTACTGCCTATGGAACAATATATTGAAAAATCGATTGTTTCTCCATTTATAAAAATACATTTCGAAGAAGGGCATTAACAATTGCCTTATTCATTCGCAAATAAAAGGTGTCTTTCAGTTACCAGATCGATTTTGGGAACACATTCTTAAATAGTGTCTGCACAATAGTGTGTACATAATATATCTCAAGTGTTTATTGACTACTGAATGTGAAAGAAGAAAGAAATACAAGTGGTTTTAGTTATTAATGATAAGTAATACATACTTTGAGAAACAATAGATATTGTTTACCGTTAAGAAAATTTGTGAAAAATATACCGAAGTGATTCCTCAGTCATTCAGGGGATTTTGATTTCAATTAAAATACCTCCATATTATTATTATGTAAGCACTTATTATTGAAATAAATATAAATCTAAGACTGATCACGTGTACTTCTTTATTTCGACCTTTAAACGTGTTTATAAGCAAGCAGAAAGTAAATAAAATAATATTTATATATAATAAATTTAGATGATTTTTATGATGATGATCCGTACACTAAAGGAAGATACAAACAAATTCTTGCACTACTTTCCAATTTTACCACCTTCCTGGTTGAACGTGCATGAGCTACTGAGTCAGCTCTAAAATGCACGTAACAAAATACTTACATGTGTGTTGTAATCTCATTATCTAACTCTTATAATAAAATAATGTTATTAGTAGCATATGGCTTCCAGTAAGGAAGCCCTTGCAAGACTATATGAAGTTCCCCGTCCGAGCTGAGAGACTGTCACTTCTGGGCGGGAAACAAACTTTTGTTCATTCATTTGATTGGAAAAAAGTTGCCAAATGTTTCCTCTCCTGTTCTTGGCTTATGTTGTAGCCATCAAGGTATACAAGAAGACTACCCCAAATGGTAAGTAATATAACACATACTCTAAGATATTAATGCTACAAACCTTTTCAATCTCTAACTCTAATACTATGCTTTTCTATTAATTCCAGGGAAAGTCACGGTATACCTTGGTAAAAGGGACTTCATCGATCACCTGGACAGCGTAGATCCCATCGATGGTGTTATTGTTGTTGAAAATGATTATCTTCAAGGACGAAAAGTTTATGGACAGGTAAAGCATACATTCTCCTCATATAAAATTCATAACTCTACTTGGAAAATGTATATTGTCTAGGTGACAACGACTTTCCGCTATGGCCGCGAAGAGGATGAGGTCATGGGTGTCAAATTCAGCAAGGAACTCGTCTTATGTCGCGAGCAGATAGTGCCGATCAAGAAAGAGAAACAAGATATGACACCTGTACAGGAACGTCTTCTCAAAAGGCTTGGAGAAAATGCTTTTCCTTTCTTGTTCCAATTCCCACAGAGCTCTCCCAGCTCTGTCACACTCCAACCCGGCGACGACGACCAAGGAAAACCGTTGGGAGTCGATTACACTGTCAGAATATATGTCGGCGAACACGAAGAAGATAAGGTAATATATCAATTCATTTACATTACCAAACATCCATGTAACTGAATTCAAATGATTCGAATAGGGCCATAAACGATCATCCGTGGCACTGGCGATTAAGAAATTGCAATACGCACCACCGACAAGGGGACGTAAACTTCCCAGCTCTCTCGTTTCCAAAGGATTCACCTTCTCTCAGGGCAAATTAAATCTTGAAGTTACGCTTGACAGGGAAATTTACTACCACGGAGAAAAAGTAGCTGCAAACGTTATCGTTACCAATAATTCTCGCAAAGCGGTGAAGAACATCAAGGTATTCAAACCGTATTTCACCTCTCTATACGTCGAAACTGTATCTGGTAGCATATATTAAATTTGTCCATTTTTCAGCTGTTTGTAGTACAGCACTGCGAGGTCACAATGGTCAATACTCAATTCTCTCGGCATGTGGCGAGCTTGGAAACACGCGAAGGATGTCCTATCACACCTGGTGCATCTTTCACAAAACAATTCTACCTTGTACCATTAGCTAGCAGCAATAAGGACCGACGTGGTATTGCTCTTGACGGACATCTGAAAGTGAGATCATATTATTAAGAAAATATTTACTGTTGCTTACATTGTTTTCATTCATTTGTACTGTATGGCATTTAGGACGATGATGTGAACCTTGCATCCTCGACTATGGTTGCCGAGGGTAAAACTCCTGGTGACGCTATGGGTATTGTCATCTCCTACTCCGTGAGAGTGAAATTGAACTGTGGTACCTTGGGTGGTGAGCTGGTTACAGATGTTCCGTTTAAATTGATGCATCCTGCTCCAGGTAAAGAAACTTTAATAGTATTAATAGGAAAATTAATTTCTGAACTTGTATTGTAAATGTGTAATATATTCTATCGCTTTAGGAGCTGCAGAAAAAGAGAGGGCCATATTGAAGAAGAATAAGAGCGTGGAAAGAACACGCTACGAAAATTCCTGTTATTCTAACGACGATGACGACAATATCGTGTTCGAAGACTTCGCTCGCTTACGTCTGAACGAACCAGAATAAATCATTTTTAAAAAGGCAATTATTTATGTCAAAAGAATCTTAGACTCTAGAATAGGTTACAGTACATTTAATTCAGGAATCAATAGAATTGCATTAAGTAGTGAAAATTGCAATACAATGTATATAATTAGATCGCGTTGCCTCTAGGATTCTTTTGATGTAATTTAACTGGAACACTGAACGAAGAATAAAATGGTGCAGAAAGTAAAATTACTTGCTGTACCAATTCGTCTGCGCAGCGACATGTGGAAGTAAATAAATATTAATGTAAAAAAAAATGTGGCAAAAAAAAATACAAAAAAAAGCGAAAAGTATCATATGAAAAATGTGTATCGTCTTAAAATTTCTATCCGATGGTGGTGGTCGGCTAGAAATTCTCATGAAGACAAACAAAAAAAGGATAATTCAAAGTAAGCTTAATAAATACTTTATATTCGGCTAAGTTTTAAAACTTTCCCGCCTTACCAGAAGTGACATGTATGCTATTAATTTTGATTAATTGTGATTATAACGTGTCTGTAAATGTTTATTTATTACAACTTGATGACATTGTTGAGTTATAATCTGTATGTTAGAAGAAAAATATAAATACTGCAAAATGCGGATATCTGGTATCTTATTATTTTTATCTTTGAACATCACATTGACATACCTAATCGTTTAAGTTAAGAAAATATCAACTGTTACCAATCCCAGAAAATTATATATTTTATAACTATACAAAATATTACAAGGATTTCAATAACTGTTCAGTCTTGGGTAGCACTGCCAGTATTTAACAATGCTGACTGTATTCTATTTAATCATACATATGAGAATAATATTCTTGATATGCCTGAATATACGCTTCCTTTTCTACCGGAGTCATCTCTGCAATTAACGTGTCGTTCACATCTGCAATAGCAACAGTTTTCCCTGCGACTGTTACCGTTGGAACAAGATCATCGTCTTCCGAATCCATTGTTTCCACCTCTCCTAAAACATTAATCGAAGTGAGCATAGCATGTTTCCAGAATATATTTTACACTACTTAATAGATATATTTAAAACATTTTAAGAGGCATATACCTGTATCAATCGTTTGCATTTCAGCAACTTCTTCATTATCACTACTATCACTAGATTCTTGAGGTAGTACAGATTTTATGGCAGCTGATGCATTTGTTCCTCCTTTCTTCTCATGAGCCAATAATACAGACATAATATCTTCACCCTGCTTATTATTCGTCGTGGTTGTATTAGTGGCAGTAGCTGCAGCTTTATCTAATATATTTTCCTGTGTGTTAACTCCATCCGGCTAAAGATTTCAGTTATTAGCAACAATATTCTAATAAGAATTGAAAAATTAAAACGACTATACATGTACCTGAGAGTCAGAATTGATGACTGTACTTTCCATCATCCAAATTGGTCTTTCCTTTCTTCTGTTTGCCGCGTTATCGTCAGCAGATTCATCGCCAATTGTAACATCTACTCTAGTATCTTCTACCATGAAACCTGATGACCTTGTAGCTTCACCAGACCATTGTTCACCAGGTGCTCTTAGACTACTAGGTTTCCTTGTATCAATACTAGAAAATAATATATGTGAGACCTGCAATATCTCTATAAAAGTGGATAATTTAACTAAAAAATCATACCCCTTAATGGTGTTTATATCAACTGGTTCTGGTTCTAATATTTCAGGAGCCAATTTGATACCTTCTACTTCTCGTAGTAGAATATAAAGGGGCTCTAATTGTTCATTAAATTTAGCTAATAATAGCCTTGAATCTTTCTTCGGAAGGGCAGACTGATCTTCCTCCACTACCTCACGACAATAAGTGCATCTAAATTCACCAGTGGTCATATCAAACAATTGATCTGCCTATATTATATTGCATTAATAAATATTTTCCATTCACTTTACTTTTACACGTATAGAAGTATAATAGAATACAAGCATAATTTATTTACCTCAAGATCAGTAAACGTTTTTAAACAACTTGTACATTTGAAACTTGCCCTGCTTGTTGCATCTCTTTCTTCTGTTTCCATTCTTTTCCTCATTAAGTCTAACTTATATTTAACCACATTTACAAAAGTCTAAAAGAAATATTCAGAATATCTTCTTCAATAAATGACTTTAATAAATAATAGCATGGTCTATTTAAATTTTACCTTGTAATTAATGAAATAGTAGTTAACTTTTTGAGCTTTCCCATCTGAACCAGTTTCCATTTTTAATCTCACTTGTATGAATTTATCATTACGTAATGTAGATATCCTAGCCCTTAACATTTTACGTTCAAATTTCAAAAGTTCACAAATGTCATCTTCTTTCATACCTGGTTACGTGAAGTACACAATTGTATACATTAAAATGTGATCTGTAAGTTTAACTTTATATGTAACACTGTACACTTACATGGATTTCTGACTAACATATCAACAATTAATGCATCCTCTATTGTATAAAATCCACGTACTACCAAACGTGCTAATTGTTTTAAACTACTTGGAACTTCTGTAACAAGTCGTTCTTCACCACTCATCTTTCTTGTGTTACATGTAATAAAATATTGTTGAAATCACTAAATATTGTGAATAGAATTAAAGTAATTAAATATTGTGAAATACTATTAAAATTACATTGATCTCACCTTGTTGCATTAGAAATAATATAAGTTATGATTGGAAATACTAACCTTTAAGGACTTATAAATAATATCTTTATCAGAAAATATCTTATACGAATATCAATAAAAGTATATTAAAATATACGTCATAATACTAAGCGTAGGTTCTCGCAAAAATAATAAAATATAAAAGCGGGAGATTCATAATTTCATCAATCGCTTAAGAACGATAAAATACTGTTCCGACAGACGCTTGTTTATAACTACTATTATTTGTAAGGTTATGTATTCATGGTACAAAATTCTCAAATAATTAAATACCTGTCAAACGACAGGATTGTAAAAAGAATACATCTTCCTATGATTTAACCAAAATTATTAATGGCAGCGATAGATAAAGTTAAAATTATTGTCGTTGGTGATTCTGGTAAGAATATGTTCAAAAGAATTGTATTATTTTTAATATATTTATTAGTACCGTTATTAATATTGTAATACTTATGGTAATAAGTAATATTAAATATGTTATTATTATACATTAAATCAATTTTTTATTTATTTGTTGTGTAAATTAAATAAGTTACTATTTTCTGTTTTCTTTTATATTTACATCTGTGGTAAAGCATATGGATTGCATGACTTTTATGTTTATTTATTAATATATAAATTAATATAT